ACCGCATTTCCTACTAATTGAGACGGAGGCTCGGACTAACAATATCAGGGAGCAACACTGTTCATGCAAAGCTGGGTAGGTCTCTATTCACTTCTATAATCGTTATTACAAAGCAAACGGACTACACGAGTGTATAACGTTGTATTTATTAGCAGCATGTGCTAGCGCAGCCTTTCTCAAAGTGGGTGCCGCGGCACACTGGGGTGCCCCCTGACTGTGTCAGGGGTGCCGCCAAAAAATTACGTAGGCTAAAAAAAAACAAAAAAAACAACAACTGACATTTCATATATAAATATATTTGAATTTACATTCTTCTTTTTAAACATATGAACGTATTAATAAAATTGTAAATTCATTTTAGATAAATAGCCTATATAAAATTAAGCATAAAAATCCGTCTCGCAAGACACGAAACTTGACGGAAGTGACGCAATCCATAGCAACGCGTTATAGCAACAACACCTCAGACTGACAGAAACGTAAAAATAAACGTAAATTTAGGTCACTTTAGTGACAGCATCATGGATCTTTTTTTTTTTTTTGAAAAGAAAATCCCCCCAAGAACCGGACAGTTTTTCTGTGAAATGGAGCCTCAGCCTACTTCCTCAGTACTGGGGATGCAACATGCCCTCTCTCTCCCGTTGTGTCTAATATATGGGATGAAACTATCAAACCAAGGGATGATTCCGCAAACACCTGACCACCTCTCATCCAACCCTGCCAGGATAGGGCGGCTGTGTGCGTCGCACCAGGCTCACGTCTCGATTGTGGTCACCCCCACCCCCGGCTTGTGTGAGCGCGTATACGCGCTGCATGCACGCATGTAGATCGTTCTCCCTCTCTCGTTGTGGATTATTGTTTGTGTGTGTGGGCGTATGTGTATGTGGGTGTGTGTGTGTGTGTGTGCATGTGCATGGCACGGATAAAAAAAACAAGCACTATATGGAAAAACATTCCTGCTTATCTCTGGTGCATTTTTTAACATGCATCTTTTTCGTATTGCATTGTTTATATATATATATATATATATATATATATATATATATATATATATATATATATATATATATATATATATATATATATATATATATATATATATATTAATGTCTTCCCCATTTTTTTTTTTTAACTGCATCCTGCACTTCATTTGAGTTCTCCTGGTCTGGATTTGTTATTGGGTTCTTGTATTGGGCGGTCCACCTCTTACGGTTTTATGGCATTTGTGTCTCTGATTAATTATTTTGTGAATTACTTTGCAAACCTTTGTTTTTAAAGGTACTATACAGTTTTTATTATTATTGTTATTTACAGTTCATATTATGCTATGTTCATTACTGTTCTGTCTAACTAAACAAGACATTTGCATTTACATTTGGGTTATGCAGTGTTTTTAAATTAAATTTTACACTGGGGTGCCTTGAGATTTTATGCACTTTTGAAAGGTGCCCTGACTGAAAAAAGTTTGAGAAAGGCTGTGCTAGCGTATCAACAACCGGTATGAGAACCGAAATCATAACCTAAAACATTATAAAACAGTCTAACTATAGCTTCACAGTCACATTAAGGTTAGAAGCAAAAAAAAAGATGTGCTTGTTGATCTTTGGGTTTAGCTGACTGAGGACGTCCATACAGTTTAATCCAAAACACTTGTCGCTGTCAGGATTTTACTTTGGTTTTGGCAAGGCAAAAAACGGACACCCCCCTCCAACCTCTCTAAGAAACGTGTATCTGTGTTGAAAATGCCCGAGGCACAACGTTTAACCATATTTTGGATAAAACTTCGACGGTAATAGCCTGCCGAGACCAAAAATATGAGACGCCTGTGTTGAAAGTCAATGAAGCGCTGTGAAAAAGTGTCCGACCTCTGTGGGAGCTGGTTCTTGGCTGGGCTGTGATTGGTCAATCTACATTCTAGGGCGTGGCTAGCCAAAGGTAAATTGAAATGATCAGGCAGTGCATTCCAAAATGTTGTACCTTTCACTTAGAAGGCAGTCTGAGCAAAAGATTTTTTACAGAATAAAATTTTACAATTGCTGCTAGAAGCCGCTCTGGTGGATCTGCTGCACAACTGCAATCTCATAACAGTACATTACGACACGAGGGGCAAGATCATTTAAATGCCTGAATACAAGCTGTACATAGTGAAAACAAACTAAATGAGCAAAACTTAGAATCTTATATTTACAATGATGATATCTTATTTGCTTTCTAAACTTTTCAAGGCATGGTTAGAAAGACATTTAATCAGATACATTACAGCCCGGTTAGTCCTAGACCAAACTGTTGATCCGTACGATATAGGCTACGTGAAAATATCATTGAGTTTAAAAACAGCAAAGCATGATCGTTTTACATAGCTTTTTAACATGGCTATTAAAATCTAACTATGCATCTAAATCTTGTATTTTACAATAGTGTTTTATAATGTATCTGCAAGCTCATAAAAGATCTTAAACATCAGCTAAACATTGTTTCACAAGACAATGTATATGTTGACACAAATACAATTAAAGATTAAAAATCCATTAATTTTAACGACCATACATAGTAAAGCAATAGATTTCTATAGAGTCATGATTTATAAAAGAATCAATATCATATATAGGCCTACATGAAGAAATGGATGTATATTGCAACATGAAGCACATTTATAGCTTTTTAAGACAGAGAAAGTTCAGTTTATCCTCACAATTATTGGGTCTCCAAACATTATTTTGTCTATCCAGAACTCCACAGCGCAGATTTATGGCAGGACACTGGAGCTCCCCCTCCACAGACCAGGCTTTATATTGAAGATCATCACCACTGACCCAGAACCAATGACCAGCCATAAAGCGCAGTCCAGTCCACACATAAGCTGTCTGAGATTTTATAGTGTTAGTTATCGCCTCTGCTCTGGTCTTCTTGGATCTTAGACTCGCCAGGTCAATGTAGTTCTGTCTGCAGTAGTCCAGGGCTTCATCCCACGTCTTATTCTGACGCACCAGAATGAGCTCAAAGACATTCATACAGTAAAATGGTAGAGTCCATGAGCACATAAGATTGTGCAGTTTATAATTAAATCTTCTTACAATGCCACACTTTTCAGTGTGTAGTAGGTTTGGTTCTCCAATGTCCCAGTTGTCGATGTTTTCATCCTCACCTCCAGACCAAATCCATTGTTCTGGGTTGTTAGGACTCATGTGCAGTCCAATCCAAAAATATGCATGATTGATTCCTGGATTTGCAGAGAGCAGTTGTGCCTCTTCTTTAGTGACCGTGGACAGATCATCATGGTATTCTCTGCAGTACGTTTGTGCAGCTTCCCATGTCATGAATGTATTCACTAAGAAGTGTTTTCTGTAGAGACTGAAGCTCAGTCTTAAGACACTCAAAAACAGGAGCAGAGCGACGGCAGCCTTCATTTCTACACAGATGATCTACTCTTTGTGTGTGTTCAGTGATAAAGGGGTGTCTTTTATTTCTGAAAGACAATAAAAAAAAACTGAAAGGCACTGACCAACCAGACGGTCAGGCAAATATTTGTGTATCAAGGATCCAAGCCATGCTGAAATAAAGAAAAATTATAGAAAGGAAAATGCAAATTTCTGTTTTATGTCTGTCTGTAAGGTTGTCACATATGCACACACACACACAGATTTGCAAGAACAATGTAAATAAAAAAAAATAAAAATCACCATAGAAACAATATAAAATATAAATTCCAAACATTATTAAAGACAGTCATAAATTGAAAATTGAGAATCAAAAGCACAAATAAACAATAGAACAAAGATACAGATGAAATAAACAGTGTTTTTCTGTTTTTTTTTTTTTTTAGGTAGATCTAACAGTAGCTATACAGATTGGGATGATTAGGGACAGACATTGAATAAAGTTATCTAATGTAAAATAATGCATAGTCTTCACTGTATAGATTAAAAATGCACCTTTTTTATTCTCTATTGTCTCAGCTGGCAATAGTTGCCTCCACAGCACACTTTTGTTTTGTCAAAAGCTCAGGATTAAGGCCAGAGGGGGAGGCTTTTAGTATTTAAATAACAAATATTCTGTCACACTTGCCCATGTATCAGCTTATCCATTCCAGCACATACAAAATTTTTCTTTATCTTTATTGAGAAAAATATAACTTCATGCTAATTTGTATCGGCTTTCGCCAAGAGACGTAGTTTTACAGTAACCTATGCTTCCCCATTCAGTTACGCTTCTTTCCACATGGTGATGTGAATCTCCATCTGTCCGGCGTTAAAGGGATACTCCTCTTTTTTTGGAAATAGGCTCATTTTACAACTCCCCCAGAGTTAAACGGAGTTTTACCGTTTTTGAATCCATTCAGCCGATCTCCGGTTCTGGCGGTACCACTTTTAGCATAGCTTAGCATAAATCATTGAAGTGCACAAGACCATTAGCATTTCTCTAAATAAAATGACCAAAATATATCGATATTTTTCCTATTTAACTTGACCCTTCTGTAGTTACATCGTGCACTAAGACCGACGGAGTTGGAGTTAGTTGCGATTTTCTAGGCTGATATGGTTGGGAACTATACTCTCATTCCTGTGTAATGAAGAAACTTTACTGGAGTACCATGAGTCCAGCAGGCGTAATGACTACACAAACTTAGTCGCGGTCACTTTGGAATCTGGGCACTATTTTCAGGCACTGCGTCATATTACTCAATCCATTCAGCTGATCTCCGGTTCTGGCGGTACCACTTTTAGCATAGCTTAGCATACATCATGGAAGTGCACAAGACCATTAGCATTTCTCAAAAAAAAAAAAAAAAAAAAGACCTACTTGTTTCGATATTTTTCCTATTTAAAACTTGAGTCTTCTGTAGTTACATGATATGGATTCAAAAACGGTAAAAGTCTGGGAGAGTTGTAAAATGAGCCTATTTCCAAAAAAGGTGGAGTATCCCTTTAAAGGTTCAATATTCAAGATTTTTGCAGTAAAATATCCAAAACCACTAGGCCAATGTTATATATTTTGTTTGGTTGATTACTTACAATATCCCAAATGTTTCCAACTATTTGTAAATTGTGAGAAAATTGCGATTTTAAACCAAGGAAACGGGGCGTGTGAGCAGGGATGAGGAGTCGCCAGTCAATGACGTCATATCCACGTTACCCCCGGTTTCCGCCAGGTTTGACCTGACTACTGCAAAAGTAACCATGGCGACAGACGTGGACAACTGGGTCGGTTAATACTGTTATGTGTGCTCAACAGCGTGAGCGTCCCTAGCAGGGTTTTATTCAAGCATTTTTGACCATGGCAAGCAGACTTTAAGACAAAAAGAGGACTAAAACGAAGATCAACATCTTTCGACATGCCGAGAGCTCCACGTCCACGACTAACTTTGACGTGACAGAGACGTGAGTGTTACATGTTACTTGAACAAATCAATGTATGTTATATAGTTCAACATGATGAAAAGTTAGAATATGATCTGTAAGTTATTCTCTAATGTTAATATAGCTTAGTCTCATACAGCCAACAAACAACCTAACTAACATTCAACACACAAAAAATTGCGTTTAGTGTCATAGTGAAACTGTTAGAGCAAGTGAAGCAGCGCTACGTTACCTCAAGTTTAATTCCTCTAATAAACTGACCTGTGTGAGTAATTCAGCATGTAGTTCGGTAGAAATAAATGTCCTTATTCCTTTATCTCTGCGGGACTCGCGTTGCGTCTAGCAATCGCGCCCTGCTACAGTCAAGTTTAAAAACATCAATGTATTCACTCATCCATAAAAGATCCATCAGCTTGACGACAAGATCCATAATTCCGCTTAATGCAGAATATATGTCAATAATATACACCTTTGTTATTGTAAGAGGTTAGCGACCCCTGGTGGCGAAACAATCTTGCATATTGTACCTTCAACTGCTGCAGTGTACTTGGTGCGTCAACACACACAACGGCTACAACTACAGTATGGTCTCCCCAGTGGACCAGCACGACAACGTCTGGATTGAGCCGAGTAGGGGACATCTCTAGGGTCTTCAAGTGGGCACCTTCCATCCTCAGTGTTTCATCGACTAGCCCACGACACCTCAAGAGGGCTCGACAGTGACTCTGGTGTCCCAGAGCCACCCCCCTCCCTCACCCACTCAACTCAGCCCAGCTTACTGACCTTTACTTCCCTCCTGCTGCTGTTAATCAGCCATTAATGTCCGAGTGATTCCGCGTGTCTGTACACGCCATCAAATGTCCGAGCGAAACGAAGCAAAATGTAGATCTACATCTGGGGAGCTATCTTTTTTTTTCCTAGGATGGTGAGGGAACAGTCATAAATGCCATTAACCCCAGTGACGGGTAGGTTTAGGGACGGGGTTGGGGTAAGTCATATATTTATATATACAGTAATAATCTTAAGTCAACGGCGTTCATAAACACGCTGAAAAGCGATTATGCATGTTGATAGCACGCCAAAAATGGAAATACGAATTGGCGTGTCATACACGCGCTACTTCATGAGATCAGTCTGTATATAAAAAAAAATCGTTTTTTTTTACATAAGAATTAAAAATTAAAACACAAGTTATAATTAATACTTCTCTCACACACACAATTCTGTGAATTTCACCATCTACTCCGGGCACAACGCCTGAATGACAGCCGTTTCCAGCACTATTTGAGGATGACAGGTGCCCAGTGCTCGGGCATATCAAAAATCTGTTTACTGACTGGTTTGCGTGACTCATAATGTGAATTTTATTTAGTGACAGATATCATTAATTGATTTTTATGAACAAAATGTGAAAGTTTTAGTCTCATTCAAGGGGAATCAGAATGCCAAATCCTGACTGACGAGAGGAGGAGCTGGGGACGGAGGAGAGTAGTTTGCTCCTGAGAAACGCGATAGCTGCTGATAATACTGAAGGAGCTAATAATTGTATTCAGTGATGGCGTCAGACCTATAGGTAGATGTAGTAGATAAACTGAGAGTCAGCTGGTAGAACTTTATCTCTATTCAAATCTTTTTTTAGACCCAATTCTTAAAGACTTACATAATGCCAAGTCAATCTTTTGTCTGCAATCCAGCAGATCTGAGTCCTGAGCTGTCTGAAGAACGACCACATCTGGGATCTCATTAATAAAACATTGATCTTAGAGTATGCGCTAAAGTTTACCCCAATGGTCATATAAAAGGAAAAATCTTGGACATAAAAAAGTGCTATATATCAGGATGACACTCAATCTGGAGTTTTTTAGTCTTTAATTTGCTTGCATACATTAGCAGATTTGCCTGGAATGGAACTATGCAAATGCTAAAAGCCTCACACCATGAAGTCAGAATCTAAGCAAATTTTTATTTGTGGCACAGTCGGAGTAGGGCCTATATTTGGAAAAATAAGCAATTAATTTATATGTTACCATCATGTTGTATGAGTTTATTTCTTCTGTTGAACACAAAACAAAGATATTTTTAAAGAATGTTGGTGACTACAGTCAGACTGATCTCATGAAGTAGCGTATGTATGACAGGCCAATTCGTATTTCCATTTTTGGCGTGCTATCAAGACGCATAATCGCCTTTCAGCGTGTTTATGAACGCCGTTGACTTAACGTTATATAAATATATGACTTACCTCAACCCCGTCCCTAAACCTAACCGTCACTGGGGTTAATGGCATTTATGACTGTTCCCTTACCATCCTAGGTAAAAAAAAAAAAGGTATGACTTACCTCAACCCCATCCCTAAACTTAACAGTCACTGGGGTTAATGGCATTTATGACTGGAGATTTGACTGCATGTACAGACACGCGGAATGACGCGGACGTTAATGGCGTAGACATATACGCATACACGCGGATAGCTCAAAATGCGTAGAGATGACACGCCACCTGACTCGAAAGTGGCGTATATGTTTACGCAAAAGTCATGATGTCATGTTGCTACAGTTGATGGCACTCATTGACTTTCAGTCATTTTTTTTTCCCACTATGGAAGTCAATGAGTTACCGACATCCTTTCAAATTCCTTTGTGTTTAACTGAAGAAAAACTCATACAGGTTTGGAACAACTTGAGGGTGAGCAAGTAATGACAACATTTTTGGGTGAACTATCCTTTTAATGACTTTAATTAGTGGGTGTTTACAAAGATCTCACATCTGGAAGAGGGGCGCAGGCACATTTTTTGTGTGTACATTTGCGAAATGATCATGAGATCAAATGTAGGATGGTTTCTGCGCAACATTTTGCAAATTATGTTTTGGGTGTTCGATTCAAACCCCTGAACAAGTAGAAGAAAGTAACCTTTTAAATGTCCGTCAACAATGAGTCATTAGACGCATTTATCAGTAATTATTTCTTCATTTATTCAGAGAAGATAAAATAAATTAATTAATTTATCAGAAAAACTATGGGTTGTTAAATAATGAATAATATGAAATAAAATCTAAAACAAAAAACTTTATATAGTGAGGGAATACTT